GGCAGTGCCCAGAGAAGAGGCACAGCCAAGCCGATTTTCCAGTGCCCCCCTCCCACACACACATCTGGCTAGCAGCTTCCCCCGCCTCGTGGGTGGCACCATGTCCCAGACACCCTCGGCAGAGCGAAGACGGCCCAGTCTATTCCGTCCTCCTCTCACCCAAAGAGCTGCCACCACCCCATGGTAACACCAGACCCTTTCCCAGTCGTCCCTTTCCCGACGGTCCCGGTCCCCCCACCCGAGGCCGACGGCTCCCCGCTCTCCACCCGGCACACCAGCTGAGCGGGCCCCGCCCCCCAAGCCGGCTGCCGCCGGTGGGGGTGGGCCCCCGGGCCGATTCTCCCCAAACCACAGAGCAGCTCAGATAACAGGCGGGGAAGAAGGAGGGGGCTCGTCCGTTGGGCATCCGATCTCTCCCCAAACAGGTTTGAAAGTCTTTTTTGTTTTGCTCGTTTCTGAAGAGAAAGGAGAGAGAGAGCCGGAGTTCCCAGCGGCGGCTCTGCCCCAGCCCGGGCGCCGGGGACACGCACGGCAGGCGGCTTCGGACGCCTCCCGGCTGCGCGCGAAGACACGGGCGCAGACAGACGCACAGACGGGGCTCCCCCGCCCCGGGCACGGCGGCAGCGGGTTGGGAAGCCCAGGAAACCCCGGGCTCCCGTCGGCACCCGCCCGGCTCCCGGTCCCCATCCGCAGCTCCTATCGGGAGCGGAGCAAGGGTCCCCGCTGCCGGTGGGAGCTCCACAATCCCCGGGGTAGAGGTTACCTCGCAGCGGGGGGACGCAATCCGTCCGTGCGCCCACGGGCACGGCGTCTGCCCTGCCCCTGCGCCTCGGGACAGCTCGGCGTCAGGGCTGCGGGGTCCCGGGAGAGGAGCCGTCCGGGGGACCGAGCTCAGCAGCGCGGGCCGAAGGCAGCGGCCATGGCGAGTCACGTGCGGAGGCTGAAACTTTACCCGGAGCCCCAGACTTGGGGGGCGGAGGGTACGGAGCTGGGGGAGGCCCTCGCCCTCGGCCCCGCCCCTGCCCGCCCACTGACCAATCACCAGCCAGAGGCGGGCCCACAGAATCACGCCCCACTCTCCTCGCCTTAATAGACCCGAGACTGGGCGAGTCTTAAAGGAGCCGCGCCTAGCAGAAGGCTGGACCGTGGGAATCTGTGAGAATCCCTCCCTCTGCCCCAAAAGGACAGCTTCGGAGCGAGGAGCTGAAGTTCTGCGGGAAGAATGGGAAAAGGGCTAGATGGAGAAGGGGCTGCAGTGTGTGGCATCACATTCCCTTCCCCAGACAGACACACACACACACACACACACACACACACACACACTGAAACCTGGGAAGTGAACTGGGAAGTGAATCCAGTGCCTCTGGCCCCAGCTGTCAAGCCCAGGCTCCCCTAATTATAACCCTCCTCCAGGGACCAGTGGGAGCTGAAAGCTGTGTGACCTTAAACAAGTCGTTTCCTTTCTCTGAATCTTCACTTTCTCATCTAAAAAAAAAAAAGAAGTGCAAGAGTAGATAGACCTCACTCAAGTGCACTCCTCCCAGTTCCCCCCAAAACCTCTCCAGCGCGAGTGGGTCGTCAGTCAGAGGAACTCTGGCCCACCCCAACCGCTCAGCAGCCCGCGTCCCCCCAAAAAGAGCAGTGGCTCTTAGATCTCCCAAGGGCTAAGTCAGGGGCCTCAGGACCACACACCCCTACACCCCGCCCCCCCCCCATGTTAGAGAACCCAGTTTCTCCCTCCTGGCCCGGGTTGGGGAGCCACTGAAGCGCGCATGCTTGTTCCAGGTGGGCAGGATCTGATTCACTCTCCATCTGCAGGACCCCAGTCCCCAACAGTCCCCAACACAGCCCCGTGCCCCCCCCCCCCAGCCTGCTGCCAGGGGAGGGGGAGCAGAAAGCGGAATCACTAGGGAACCCCCTTTCGCAGTCAGAGAAGTGGCCACGAGTGCCCCCACAGGACTTCCCGCTGGAAGGGGAAGTGCCTCACGCCCCAGCCTCCAGCCCGGGGAGGAGACAGCCTAGCCCGACAGGCAGAGCTCCCAACCCACCGGCCCGACGGCCCCGCTTTACAGAAGGGAACCCCTGGGCCGGGAGGGGACACGGGCTTTGGGCCCCTTGTCGCCCTGGTTTGCACAGCCAGGTCAAGGGTGGAGGGGTCTGATGGGCTCCCCGGGCTTAACCCCCAGCCTCGGGGAAGAAGAAAAGAACAGCCGGGGGTGCGGGGCGCACTGGCCCTGAGGTCCTGCGCAGGGGCGGGGGCCGCACAGCGCCTGGAACGCCTTCCCGGGCCTTCCCGGCCGCTGGGCCGGCGGTCCTCCGGTTCGGTCTGGGATTTCCGTCCGCGGTGGGAACGCCCGCCCCGGGCCTCCCCCCCCTGTCCCGTCCAGATTCATTCCGAAAAAATGCGCTCCAGCCGGGAGGAAAGGCGCCCCAATGGTTCCCAGAATGTGGGAGCCCAACGCTTAAACCCCTTTTCTCTCCAACCCCCCCCCCCCCA